GAAGCCGAGGTCATCGTCTGCGACGACCTCGGGTTCCAAGAAACCCGATGTCCCCTGGGCCCCAAAGTTGACTTTGGAGGATAGGCCAATTATGTCAACTGAGAGTGCCGACGACATTAATGTCGGTGTCGCCCTCAGTACTGCTCTTCTTCTTCCAAGCGATCTGGAGCGAAATGCTGGGTACAGCGAGTATGAAAACTATGCGCTAATGCTCCAGCACTCCGTTCAAGTAAGTGTTTCCTGTTTTGACTTTTCCTTTCTGCTTCATTCTTAGAAGATTTTCTAACACTTCTGTTTTCTTTTAGGCCATCCAGCACGCCCATTCGTTTTCAATGCAATTTTTTGAAAATCGGCAAAGATTGGCCGACATAAAGAGGGAGGTTTCTACCCTCAAAAAGGAGAACAAAGCTATTCTGACAAAGATGAAGAAGCTGGAAGATCAGGCCGAGGCTGCCACTAAGGCCCAACAGATGGCCAAAGAAAAAGCGGAGTCTGCTGAAGCCATCAAAAAAGTTGCTGAGGCCGAGAAGAAAGATGCCGAGGTAAAAAAGGCTCAAGTTGAAAAAGAGCTCGAGCAGGCCTTGGCCACTAAAAATGCCGAAATTACTGAAGCCGATGAAAAAGCTTACGCCCAAGGAATGGCCGATGTTGTTGAGGGCTACAAACTTCAAGTTAAGCAGGCATGTAACAGGGGCTTCTCCCTTGGTTGGATGGCCCTTGCCAAAAAACTCAACATCCCTGATGACTCGCCGTTGCGCAAGGCTGAAGCTATTCCTCTCCCATTTCCTCCTCTTCCACCTCCAAGTCAGGCTGAAGAAGAATCTGAGTCTGAGTCTGAAGCCGAAGATGAGGATGATGACGGTGCTGCTCTAGTAAGGAAGCCCAAGGACGTTGATGAGATCCAATCCCTTCCTCAGGATGATCAAATCCTAGACCTGACTCATGAAGAGGATGAGGAGGTTATTAAGGAGGCTACTCCTGAACAAGCATCATCTGACGTTCCTCCAACCGATGATAGTCTTAATCAAACACTTGCCGAAATTAATGCCGAGATCATGGCCGAGAAGGTTGCCGAAGTAGCTTTTCAAGAACCTGCCGAGGTCCAAACCCAAATTGCTCCTGAGGCTGAAGAATCATAAATTCCATGTCTTTTGTACTTTTTTTTTTTTTTTTTTGTTTTTTTGTTTTTTGGACAATATAAGTTTCTTTGTATGGCCGATGTGCCTTCTTCAGAACAGTTATTCTTGGATGCTTCAATCTTTTAATCTCTTTGATTTGTTTCTGCATGGTTGTATGCCTTTTATTTTTTTGCCACCTTTGTGCAATCTCATCGGGGTTACATACCTCGAGTACAACAACATCAAACTTTACTTTGGCAAGATATAGACCTGAAAACTCTTGATAAATTCTAACAAGTGTTTAACATATACTATTCAATATTAACTTCTGCAAGTTTCTTCTCAAGTTTCAATAAGTATGTAAACAGTGATCTCGGTCTAGCCTACTTGTAAATTGCTACAAATTTCAACAAGTGTTAACAGATACTGTAAACTGTTCGCAAGTTATAACAAGTGTTAAATAATGGTCTACTTGTAAATTGCTACAAATTTCAACAAGTGTTTGAACAATATACTGAGCTTTTACTTTAACCTGTAAATTGCTCTAAATTTCGGCGGATGATCACATGTCGGCTTAACATTAACTTGTAAATTGCTACAAATTTCAACAAGTGGTGAACGCATTCTTCTTCTTCCTTCCCCCAATGTGAACCTGAGTTCTACTTGGGTTCTCATTATTCATGTCTCCAAAAACATAAGTATGTAATTTTATCAGTCATATGTGTTGAAAGAACTTTTGAAAGAAAAATTTATTAAAGACATTGGCAAAAAATACTGCACATCTAATGATAGAAGAATTTCAAATTACAAGTGTTCCAAGGTCTTGGTAGTGCTTTGCCCTCGTTATCTTCAAGCCGATAGGCTCCATTGCCTAATACCGAAGTAATTCTGTAGGGTCCTTCCCAGTTTGGGCCAAGCTTGCCCTCTTTGGGATCTTTTTTGTTGCCGACGACTTTTCTCAAGACTAGGTCGCCGACTTGAAAATCTCTTGGATTGACCTTTTTGTTGTAAGCTCTAGCAAGCTGCTGCTGGTATACTGCTAGCTGAATTACAGCCTTTTCTCTTCGTTCTTCCAAAAGGTCCAGATCTCGGGCTAAGAGTATGTCGTTAGTGCCATTCTCTACTCCCTGGGTCTTGATCCCTGGGATGCCGATCTCTAATGGGATGACAGCTTCTGTGCCATAAGCCATGGCAAAGAGGGATTCCCCAGTTTGATCTTCTCGGCGTAGTCCGATATGCCCAAAGCACGTTGGGCAATCGTCTACCCACTTTCCTTTTGCTGCTTGCAGCCTCTTCTTTATTCCATCTAGAATTACTTTGTTGGATGCTTCTGCTGGTGAATCTGTTTAGGGCTGCGGCCCTCCCAGTAAGCATCTGAACCTGTTTTACCGACGTCGGGCTCTGCAGTTCTAGGATGGCCTTGATTTGGTCTGGGCTGGCCTCAATGCCCTTCCTCGTTACCAGATACCCTAAAAACTTACCTGATCCAACTCCAAATGCGCACTTTGATGCGTTGAGTCGGAGCCGGTATGTTTTGAGTATATCAAAGACCTCTTTTAGGTCAGCAAGATGTCCCTTAGATTCCTTGGTCTTCACGACCATGTCATCGATGTAGACTTCTACCGTTTTACCAATTAGGTGCTTGAACATTTTTGTTACTAACCTTTGGTACGTTGCTCCCGCGTTTTTCAACCCAAAAGGCATTACCTTGTAACAGTACAGGCCTTTAGGGGCGATGAACGCGGTTTTTTCCTCGTCTGGAGGGTACATGGCAATCTGGTGGTACCCCCTGTATGCATCTAGAAAACTCATCTTTTCATGCCCTGAAGTAGCGTCTACGAGCGGGTCAATCTTGGGCAGAGGAAAGCTGTCTTTGGGGCAGGCTTTGTTGAGGCTGATAAAGTCTACACAGACCCTCCATTTACCGTTCTTCTTTTTCACTACTACTGTGTTGGACAGCCATGTCGGATAGTGAACTTCATGGATGGCCCTGGCTTCCAGAAGTTTGTCTACTTCTTCTTCTACTGCTTCGACGTGCATCAACGTCAGTCTTCGGGCTCGTTGAATCACATGTTTTGTCAACCTGTCGACATTCAATCTGTGGCAAGTGACCTCGGGGTCAATGCCAAGCATCTCGTAAGGCGTCCAGGCGAACACCTCAATGTTGGCTCTCAAAAAATCTTCCAGTTCTCTTTTCTCTTCTTCGGCTAAGCCGGAGCCGAGAAGAAAGAAGCGTTCTTCGTTGCCCTCCTGGACAAGGATTTTCTTTAGTGTCTCTTCACTTTTTTCGGTCGGCTCCTTGCCGACATTTTCTAGGACCTCCATGTCCTCGTCTTCAATCTCTGCCTCTTTTGGCTTTCGAATGCTGCAAGTAGTCTTCATTGCTGCCATGGAGCAAGTTTTTGCCTACAGTTGATCTCCTCTGACTTCTTCAATCCCATGTTCTGTTGGAAACCGTAGTAGTTGATGCAATGTTGAGGGAACTGCCCCAATTGCATGCAACCATGGTCTTCCCAAGATGATGTTATATGGTGAAGGTGTGTCAATCACCATAAATTCTGTTTTGATCTTCTTAGTACCCGCTTGTACTTCCACGCTTGCTGCGCCCAGTGGCCATGTCGGCGTTCCATTGAAGCCGACCATAGGGTTGCTGGATTGTTCTAGGTCGTCAGGATGAAGGCCCAGCTCCTTGTAACATCAGACGTACATGATGTCACAAGAGCTGCCTTGATCTATTAGGATGCGTTTTACTTGGCATTCCCCAACCTGGAGGGATACTACCAAGGCATCATTATGCGGATGCTGGACCATATCTAGGTCGGCTTCAGTGAAGGTTATCATTGGTCCTTGGCTTTCTTCAGGCCGAGGTCTTTTTTCCCTGATTTGGTAGACATGCTGTAAATGCCTTACCCTCTGGGTCTCTCCTCTGACTTCATTCTCGTTGACCCTTGAGTGGATCACATTAACCATCCTTGGTCCTCCTGCCTGTGGTTGCTGTGATGGAGGTGGTGGAGCTGCTGGTGCTTGAGGCAATCTTGTCTGTTCTTCTCTGGTCCTGGCCTCATCAACAAGGTCCCTCAGATGGCCTTGCCTTACCAAGTCTTCTAAGTGTGCTTTTAGGGCTCTGCAACCCTGTGTTGGGTGCCTTTCTTCATTGTGGTAAGCATAACGCCAACCCATGTTTCTTCCCATAAATTCCCCTGGTGCTCTTGCTGGAGGTCTGAAATAGGGTTGGTTTCGTATTTGATCCAGGACTTTATGGATGGGGATTCGGAACACCGTCGTCATTGCCTGTTTGCCCTTCAATTCTGTTTCTTGTTTGGATGGTCCGTTGTTACCTCGGCCTCGCTTCGGCGATTCGTTTGCTTTCTCCTGCTTTATCTCTTTGTTTCCCGATGTATCTTCCTCGGCTCTGGCGTACTTCTCAATTCTTGCCATGAGTTCTTCCATGCTTTTTGGCAGTGTTTTTGCCAAAGATTTTCGTAGTTGGCAGTCATCTTTGAGGCCGTTCTTGAAAGATACGACCGCCACTTCTTGGTTACATTCGGGTATTCGATTGAACACCTCGTAGTATCTCTTTGCGTAGGCCCTAAGGCCTTCTTCCTTGGTGATTCTTAAAGCCATTAGGGCGTCGACCCTCAGGGGCTGTAGTTTGTTCGTCACAAACCTGGCCACAAACATCTCGGCCAGGCCTTCCCATGTCTTTACGCTTCCCTTTGG